ATCTTACCATTTATTTAGGTCTTTAATTTCTTTCAATAATGTTTTGTAGTTTTCAGTGTATAAGCCTCACACTTCTTTTGTTAAATTTATTCCCAAGTATTTTATTCTTTTTGATGTTACAAGAAAAATTTGTTTTCTTAATTTCATTTTCAGATTGTTCAAAGCAAGTGTAGAAAAATACAATTAATTCTTGTATATTGATCTTGCATCCTGCAACCTTACTAAACTTCTTTATTTAAATAGTTTTTTAGTAGATTTGTTAGGATTTTCTCTACACAAAGTCATGTCATCTGCAAATATAGTTTTACTTCTTGCTTTCCAATAGGAATGCCATTTTTGTTTCCCTTGCCTTATTGCCCTGACTAAAACCTCCAGTACAATATTGAAAAGCAGTGGTGACAATAAATAACCTTGTCTTGTTTCTCATCTTAGGGGAAAATATCCAGTCTTCTGGTAAGTCCTTTTAACTTAAAAACTTAAATTTGTCCTCAATTATGGCTTCTCCTCTTTCACCCTCTTTGAAACTCCTATTATTGAGAAGTTAGGTCTCTTGTATCTATTAGTTATGTGTCTCATTTTGTCGGTGATAATTTCCATTTCTTTCTTTTCTACTCTGCTTTGTGAAGGGATTTTTTTTCATTTGATCTGTTCACACTTTCAGAGGCCCAGACCTCTCAGCCCCGTGTGGGAGTGTCCGCAAGAAGCTCTGGCTGTCAGGGTCTGGGAGGCAGGTGTGAGACAGCCAACAGGAATGAGAAACCGGGAAGTTCTTGCCCAGGGCTGATGGCGAGCAGCCCCCCACGCTGGGACCTGATGACTGGGGCTGGGAATATGGGAAGGAAGATGGGCTTTCCATGTAGGAACTGGGTGGGGCATCCCTTCCCAAAGTCCTGGGGCTCCTGGGAAAAGGGGTCAGCAGCTCTCTCCGGAATGCTGGCTAGGCTGGCCTGAGGGATGCACTTGGCTTAGTTTTCTTAATTAAGTGAGAACATTAAGACCCATTAAGTGGGGATGTCAGGCAGCCTGGGACAGCAGGACTTGGCGCCAGGCTTTTCTAGAAAGGCAGGCCTGCTCTAGCCTGGGCACTCGGTCCTTCTCCCATTGCAAACAGTGGCACTGAGAAGTTGTCCTCTGTTGGGCGGATCCCCAAGGTCCCCTCCACTCCACATCGGGCCAAGTTCCCCTTTGATTGGTCCAGGTCTTTGAATTACCCTAGCAGGAAGCTGGAGTCATCCCCAGTATGACCCCAACAGGCCCCTCTCCCAAAAGTCCCCCCATCCTGAGCCTTCAAAGCTGGTGAAACATAATCTTAAGGAGATTTGCTTTTGGAGCCCAGGAGCCCCTGAGGTGGAGTCAAATGAGAAGCCCCAGCTGTGACCCATCCTCATGTGTGAGGAAGGCCAAATGGTGGCTGGAGGAACCTGAATACAAGCAGGAGCTTTCGTTTCCAAATCTAATGCCAGCACACACAGGCTGGTCCCTGACCCCGCCCCCAGGCACTGCTTGGATGAGGACAATGCTTCAGCAGCGTCCCTTCAGTTCTGTACTGTAACCAGCATGGGGGACAGAGGAATAAAACACACTTGCTGCCCTCATGAAGTTCACAGTCTAGTGGCAGAGCCAGTAACTAAAGACCATCCTGATAGGATGTGATGAGCGGAGCTCAAAGCCCCAAAGCAGTGTGGAGAATGGCCCCTGCAGCCCCGTGGGAGGGGTGCTCAGGGTTCCAGGGGCCAGGTCACATGCGTGGGGGTTGAAGATGATGTGCCAGGTAGACTGAGGCAGTGTACTGGGCATGAGAGGAGGCAGAGATGTGTAGGAGCTCAGTAAACAATGGATGGCTGGATGAATGAATGAATACAAATTGTGTTGTATTTCAGAAAAACAACTTTTGGTAATAACCGAATTGGTCAATGAGATGAACGGTGTGAGTGAGGATTTTCAAAAAGGGGATGCAGGGTCACAGGTGGTCCCCGAGTCCTCTGAGACATCAGTGTCTTCACTTCGAAGACTCATGTCTTCACTTCAGTTTCTGGCATGAATTAGTAATATAACTTATGCCAGTTAATATAAACCAGACATGGTCTCAGTGGTGAATCACCAAAAGCAACGGTGTTTCTTCTGCTTATTTGTGGTGAGGTTTGTTTTGGCAACGCCAAGGAACGGAGTAGATGGTTCATGGGGTTGGTTCCTCAGCAGTCACCCCCCTCCCAGCCCAAGAAGCTTGAAGAAACAGAAACGGAACATGGCATAGCATGGGTCTTTCTGGGACTTGGCATCCACAAAAACTCAAAAGTCATTCAGCTCTTTATCTCACAAAGTGAGATAAAGTGATATCTCACTTTATCACCTGTGTGGCCTTCACAGGGCTTGAGTTTCACCCTTTGCCCAATAAGGTTGGACGAGATTCCCTTTAAGGACTTTCTAGCTCTCTGTGTGTCTGTGGCTCTCTGACTATCCTAGGCTCAGCAGACAGCAGAGCAGGAATGGGAATTCCCCCATGAATGGGAAATGCAGTCCAGGAGCAGTCAGCCTGGCCACGTGTCCTGCACCCACATACATCGTGGCATAAAGTCACTGACTATTGTGAACAATCTTTTCTAATCCGAGGACTGGTGACCTCCATACACAAATCCTCTGGGGCCACATATTCCCCAAAATGTTAATTTTCTTTTTATCAAAAAGAATGGAAAACATGAATTCATGTACTTTTTAAGGAATAAAGCCTTTATTCAGTAAATGGGAAACATGCTACACAGACTGTTTTCAAAAGATGCATAGTTAAAAGAAAGGGGGAGGTGAAGTGACAGGGTGCTGGATAAGGGCAGAAACGCTTGCTTTTGGGGACCTTACTTTGTGCTGACCCTCAGCAGAACCTGCAAGAGGGATTTAGGAGCCCCACCTGTTGGATGGATGAGAATGGAGACTCTGGTCTGCAAACTGGGTTAAAGTGTGGAGCTCTGCCTCCCCAAGCATCCCCAGGCTGGTTGGACAAAGACCAACGTCCTTTCATGGGAAAGCCGGGCTCAGCTCAGCTTAGGGCGCAAGTGGCCCCTATTTGTGTCCTCCCTGGCTCTTCCCGCTACGCATAATGCCCTCTGAGAAACAAACATCAGATGCAAGAAAGGACTTCTCCAGGAGCCTGGCGCAGCTAATTTCATGAGTTCACTGAGTGATGTTGGTTGGGCCAGTCACTTTCCCTTTCTCAGTGCTCTCTGCCCCCTACCCTGCCCCCTACCCTTCACCAAGAAAAGGGTTTAGCAGGTCCCTTCTAGCATCAGTATTCTCTGTTCTTCCCTAAAAGAAATTTGAATGTCTTTATTGTTCTAGGGGATTGGTAGTTAATAGGAAAGGTTGATGGGGTAAATGCCTCTCACCTTTGGTACTAGTGTTCTATAGCAAATCTGCCATTAACATTTCCCAGCAAACCACCTTCCAGTTGCAGGATAGTAGCAAGTTGTCAGACTCCAAGGCAGCAGGGAAAGTGACAGATCTGGAGGTCAAAGCGGGCCACATGCTTCAACAAGCCAGGCTGGGAACAAACAGGCCAATATGTGGGGGAGTCTTCTCACAGAACATTGATATGCACTGACCAGTAGTAACCCTGCCTCTGTAGAGCACACCTGGACATCACCAAGTGACCTGGGGCTTGTCCATTTTAGTAATTTTTAGGGTCTAGTCTCTTCTGTAGCAAAGAGACCAATCTTGACCCTGGGAAGCGAGGAACAAATCAGGTTAGGAGAGGCTAAACCTCTGGGGCTGCTAACAGCACTATCAGGGACCAAGGTGTCCTTTTGAGTATGAAGACTCGGGCTGAAACAAATAGGGGAAGGAAAGTGGAGATGTGACAACCAGTGGCTAAGGAACTCTGATGACAAGTGGATGGTGAGGGAGAAGGATAAGTATGTAGAGACCCAACCTGCAACATGTGAGAATGATGTTCCACTGCAGAAAAAGAGAATGGATGGGCGCTGGGATTCTGAGTCAGACAAGCCTTGCTTGAAGAACTTCCTCCACCACTTCCTGCATCTTGGGCAAAACCCTGCAACTGTCAGAGCCTCTTCTCAGCCTGACCCAGGAATAAAAATTAGCGACCCTTCACTGCGCACCTACTGTATGCCAGGCACTGCCAGACGCTTGATAATGCCCTTGTTCAGACCCAATTTTTAAAAGGTAGATATGATTTCAATGCTGCTGTGACAGAGCGGGAAGGGAGCAATATTGAGAAAGCACGATGAACTGTCTTCTTAAATACGGGGAGACCCTGAGGGTTTAGGGTTTCCAGCCAGCAGAGAGGATCGCTAAGTTTTAGGAAGGATGGGGATTTAACAACCAGAGAAAACCTGAAAGACCTGTCTACCTTGGGCTGTGTGTCGTAAATGTGATTTTTCACAAGCTGTGGCTTTGGGGCGTTAGGTGGGGCTCTTGTTGGCCTGGAGGAGGTCCTTCCGGTGTTGGTATTGCCTCAAAGCTGTAATTCTCTGTCCCAGCGTTGGCTCTTTATTTACAAAGAAAGGTTTCAGTGGTCAGTGACCTCGACGCCTGTCGGATCCGGGGTGTCCCCTGAGTCCAAACAGGCGGGGCGCACTGCAGGGCCGGGGTTAGGGAGAACCCTCTGGCCACCACACATAGGCGTAAACGCATTTCTAGGCCTCTGTCTGTGCAGGGGGTGCCCAGCAAGGGGAGGGGGCACAGCGCTCCACGTGCAGGCCCAACGCCCGTTCCCTTTAGGCCCCGCCCCACCCAAGGCTCCGCCTCACCCTGTACGGTCCCGCCCCTCCCGTATCCGCCTCTCACAGCCCCGCCTCCCGAGGCCCCGCCCCTCGCTGCTCCCGGGTCCCTGAGGCGCGGCGGAGGGGCCCCGCGCCTTTTGTGTCGGGATTGAACCGCCGCGCGCGCTCTCCCTTCAGCAGCCGCGGGCTGGGGGACGCACTCGCGCGCACTCCCCTCATCGGGCGGAGAGACACACCCTCCGCCTCGGCCCTCGGGCTGGGCTCGCCCTCCCGCCCCTCCGCCAGCGGGCCAGGGGGTCGCCGCCCCGAGTCTCGGGCGGGCGGGCGCGCGCTCTCCGAGGACGGCCGGAGCCCGGCGGCGCTCGCCCCCTCCCCTCCCGTACACTTTCCCCGGCGCAGCGCGCACACGCCGGCCCGGGCACGCGCCCGCCAAGATGGCAGGGGCCGGGGCCCAGCTGTCAGGCGCCGCCGCCGCAGCCCTTTCCCGCAGCTAGCGGACCGGACGCCCGCCCCGAGAAGATGACCCTCCGCTGCTCCCCGCAGCCCAGCGAGACGCGGAGCCGCCGCGCCCGGGGCCGGCTCCCCCGCTAACGCCCCGCACCGCGCCCCCGGCCCCGCGCGCCCGCCCCGGCAGCGACAATGAGGTGAGCCGCGCGGGCGTCGCGGCGGGGAAGGGGCGCGGCGGGCGGCGTCCGGAGTGGGGGAGGGCTCCGGAGGCGTCGTGGGGGCGTCGAAAACGGTGGGAGCGCCCGGGGGTTTCGGGGTGGGCGGCGTTCTGGAGGAGCGGGCTGTGCCGGCCTTTGCAGCCTGCGGGAGGCACTTGTAGGGGGTGTCGGGGGCCTGGGGTGGGGGAGGCCGACACCCCCGGCAGGTGTGGCCGCGCCCCGGCCGCGTGGTGGCCCAAGTTGGCCGAATCCCGGATCGGTGCGTTGCAGCCACGAGGCCGGCCCGAAGCTCCTCTGGCCTCCGCCTCCCGGGCTCTGTCTCCCCTCGGGCGAAGCCTCCCCGGTGCCGGCGCTCAGAGCCGCGTTTCCTCTGGAGAAGTGGCGCTTTCCCTCCATGTGGAGCGGCTCGCCCCCTTCCTCTCCCCTTTCTCATCCCCCTTTCCTTTCTTCCTGCACTCCGGTAAAGTGCACGACCTAGATCGTACCGCTCATTGATTTATCACCCAGCCGGGGGACCTGCTGCTTATCAGGTCAAGAAATAAAACATTGCCGGCAGCCAGGAGCCTGGAATTCCCGCCCCAAAGGTAACCCAATCCCGACTTGCGGGGGATAATCGCCTCCTTGTCTTTTTTTTTCTGTGGAATTTTACCTTCTAAACACAGATCCCAGAAAAACTATAGTGCCGCTAGTTTCATTTTGCCTGTTTTGTGCACTTTCTATAAATGAAATCATGCCATTTATATTCTTTTGTGTCCGGCTTCTTTCACTCCAGATGTTTTTGAAACTCATTTCTTCTGTTGTAACTGTTCATTCTTATTGATCTATAGTATTTCGTTGTACGAATGTACCACAATATATCCATTCCAGTGTTGGTAAATATTTGAATTGTTTCTAACTTTTGGCTATTAATGATAAGGATGTTGTGATTGCTCTTACATGTCTTCTAGTGTATTCATTTCTGTTGGGTATATACCTAATGGAACTGGCAGTTCAAAAGATCTGCATGTCTTGACGTTTAGTAGGTAATACTGTACCAACTTGCTAGAGTGTTTGTGCAAATTGTGCAAATGTACACTGCTACCAGAAAGCATAGGAGTGCTTGTGCGTCACATCCATGCCAACACTTGGCGTTGTCTTCAATTTTAACCATCCTGGTGAGTGTGAAATGGTGTCCCATTGTTTTAAATTGCAGTTTCTCGCTGACTAATGAGGTCAAACATCTTTTCATGTTTATTTTGTACCCTCTTTTATGAAGTACCTGTTCAAAAGTCTTGCCCTGTTTTCTTTTGGGGTTTACATGCCTTTTTCTTCCTAATTTGTAAGAATTCTATTGGATTGTCGGAAAAGTCATGACGCATTTTTGCAACAAAACACATAGAAAAAATACGTCATGACTTTTCTGACAACCCAATATTTGTAAGTCAAGAAGATATTTTCCTATAACATCTTCTAGAAATCTTATCGTTTTGTCTTTCAGATTAAGATCTACAGTCCACTTGGAATTGATTTTTGTATAACTTGTGAAAAAGAGGTCAAATTTTATATTTTTACCAGCACCACTTATCCAAAAGTTCATCTTTTCTCCATAGCTCTGCAGTGGCACCTTCGTCATCCTCCGTTTGGGGTCATTTTCTTTCTGCCTGAAGAATACCCTTTAGGATTTCTTTAGTGCAGGTCTGCTAGTGACAGATTCTTACAGTGTTTGTTTGCAAATGTCATTTATCCTTCGTTTAAAACAAAACAGCTTTATTGAGATATAATTCACACACTATCAAATTTACCCATTTAAAGTGTACAGTTCAGAAGTTTTTGGTATTTTCACAGTTATGCAACCATTACCATAATCTAATTTGAGAACATTTTCTCCATTTTGAAGGGTCTTTTCAATAGTTACAAAATTCTTGGTTTGTTGTTTCCTGTTAGCACTTTAAAGATACCTCATTATCTCTGACTTGGATTGTTTCTGTTGAGAAGTCACTTGTCAATCGTTCCTTTGAGAGTAGTCTGTCTTTTTCTCAGGCTGCTTTTAGAATGTGCTCTTTGTCTTTGGTTTTCAGCAATTTTTCTATGCTGTCTGTATTATGGATTATTACTTTTGCTTTTCTTAACATATAATCGGGGTCCTTACAGCTTCTTGAATCTGTGGCTTCATGTCTTTCATTATTTTGGGAAGTCATCAGTCATTAGTACCTCAAATATTGCTTCTGCCTCATTCTCTCTCACCTTTCCTTCTGAGACTACAATTGTACATGTTAGAACATTTCACTATATCATCTGTGTCTCTTAACCTTCCTCCTGTGTTCTCTTTCTCTTTGCCTCTCTGTCCTTCATTCTGGTAATCTCTCTTTTTCTCTTCTGTTTTGAATAATCTGCTATTAAATCTGTCAATTGAGCTTTTAATTTCAATTATTATGTATTTATTCCTTAATTTCCATTTGGTTCTCTTTTTATAGTTTTCAGGTATTTTCCCAAATTATTAATCTTATCTTTTATCTCCTTAAGTATAGTATGTAATTGTCTTCAAGTTTGACTGATTGTGGCAGTATGTGTGAGTTACTTCCAGTACCTGTTTCTGTTGGTTTTCATTCATATTGTCTTATCTCCTTATGTGCCTAGCTGTTGGGGGTTTGTTTGTTTGTTTGTTTGATTGTGTACTGGACATCATATTTTCAAAATTGTTTGTAGAAATAATTTGAGGCCTAAGGTGATGTTTTTCTTTTCTAGAGATAATCACATTCGCTTTGTCAGGCAGATGGGACGTTACAGTCTGGGTCACTTCAATGCTGTTTCAAGGATTGAGATGTTTCTAAACTGAGCACAGCCCTTGTGAGAGCCAGCTTGTTCTGCTCACCATTACTCCTAGTGTTCAGCTCTTCACCAGCATCTTCACTCCCCAACCCAACCCCAGCTTTCAGCATTCCTTTTGGAATTGGCCAATACTCCCAAGAAAAGTAGCTCCAAATACTGAGTTCACCTCTTTGAGCTTCTGACCTGACATACCTTCCTCCCCCAAACCTGCAAGCAGATATTTATTCTATTTTTTCCCCTGCTTTTCTAGGTCTCTTCATCTGGAGGGTTGTTCTGATTTCCTTAGTCCATGGTACTGGAAATAAAAGAGACCCTGATGTTTGCATTTTCAGGGGCAGTTCGAGTCAGTTTTCAATTCTGGAGGAGATTTAAGCTGCCAGGTTTTGGAAGCTGTGGAGAATAATAACACTTATTTTCTTGTGTTCTGTCATAACTGTTAGGTTGTCTCTGTCAGTGAAATGCTCTGCAATCAAGATAATTTCAAGAATAAATCTTTAATTTCTCTTACTATATAATTAATTGGAAAAAAATAGCAGTTTAGTTCAAGATCGTTGCTGTAAAGCGAAGGATTTTAGAAGGATAAAGGATTTACTCTCTTTTTTCCATATTTCTTTCTTTCTCCTGTCTTGATTTCCTTAATGGTTTATTTGATAAAAATTACTGTTTATTTGATCCTCTTGAATAGAACATTTAATTTTTTGATCAACAGTAGAATAGCATTCTCAGGTCTCATTCTTTTGGATCAGCTTTTTAAAAAAAGATATAGATATAGAAATGAAAGTTCTTAAATTGCTTTGCCAAAATAAGTCATTCAGTTATTCTTTTTTCTTTAAGTTGTTTTTTACACAGATTTTTAAAAACGCTACTGACAGTTTATCATGGTTCTCTGTTGCAGACTGTTTATAGTTAAACATCTATGCATGTATATTCCCATGGATCTCAAATACTTGGCTTTTGCAAATGTCCTAAATAAGTCACGGGGGTCTTTTCATTAACGTTTTTTGTCAACTCATTTGATTGGGATATTTATAAGCAATTTGGTTCATCCATGAGAAACACTTTCCTTTTGGTTCAATCCTGAATTTTTAAACATCATTCTACTTGTTAGATAATCTCTCATGGGAGTATATAGATGTGACCTATTGATAAAGATCTGGAATGTAGTCTCCAAACTCTCCCGTTTAAGGAGTGCCTCTGAAAGGCATGAGGCTGGCCATGCATTCAAACAAATAAGCTCAACACTTGAGGAACATGTCCACATAGTTTAGCAAAACAGTCCTGTTGAGTCAAATTGCTCAGATAATTAAGGCTATGTCTGGGTTTTTCTTTATTTTATCGCCTACTGCCTGAATTCTTATTTCCCTTTTTCTAACAGACCTTAATGTATTTTCATATCTTCATTCAGAAATCATTTTTTGAGGGCTTACTATTGCCTGGTACTGGAGTATATGGGTAAGGAGGTAGAAAGAACCAGACCTCCCCCTCCCTCAAATGCCCCATCCCTAAAAGGTTTACGGAAATTTACTAGAGTCCTTCTTTCTGCATCCCTTTTCTACTTCAAAACAAAACACACAGTATACAACATATCTCTGTTTGTATACTTTAGTCATTTGTCTGTTTGGGAACAGTCTCTTCAGTAAACATTCCCCCTTTTATCTTTTAAAGATTTGATGTGTAGAAGTTTGAAGTTTTTATGTCAGTAAGTGATTTTCTTTGTGATTTTTCCATCATTTCTTATGTTTAGGATAGCATTCTTCTAGAAGATTGGTTAATAAGCATTAAGTTGTTTTTGTTTCACATATATGAAGTTTAAAAAATTCATTCTTTAAATTGTCTGGAATATGAGCTGAAGTTCAAAATTACATTTTTCTTCACAATTGCTGATCAGATAGTACTTGACTATAACCATAGATACATGACAGATATCAGCCATGTTTTCTAAGTTGAATGGCTGTGCAAATGTCTGGATCCCAGAGTCCTCAGTAGGGGTGCATGGTTGCAGCTGGTAACATCTGAGTGAGAATCACTTCCAATCCTCAGAAAGCTTACCTGCCCCCGTCAGGTCCAGCCCTGTGAGTATAAGACTTGGCCAGACTAGCATCCCTGATTATGTTCCAGGGAGCTACCTCGTCTGGGCCAAGGGCACTCTTACCAATCTTGAAGTTACTACA